AAGTTAAGTCAGGTCCTCTGGACAGATTCTTCTTGTTGAAATGTTTCCTCTTTTATACAAGACTTTAAAAGCATAATCCTTATGGGCTGCTTTTCAGTCAGAATTTGAGACACGTTTTGTTTTCTTGACAACAAAACATAAATATTCAATTGAAAACACTTTTATTGTACACTACTCCATAATAAATTGCAGCCTATAAGCCCAGAGAATATAAAAAGCAAACATATGTTAAAAAAACATGTCAGAGACTAGACTGCAAATACTGTGATGATGCAATCAAGATGCTAACTGAATATCTCATTAAGATGTAAACTTCCCAAAAAGTTTCATTTTAAGTATCAAATAAATTCAGATTAATTTGGTTGTGAATTATATACATAAATTAATTAAATAGTAATCTGCGTGAGCTGAAATTAGAACTAGTTTATTTTAGATATGATCTGGTTAGATCAACATTAGTTTATTGATAACAAAACATCGTATGGAGGAGCTATTGTGTGTGTATGGCAGTACACTGCCATATCTTATATTTCTAAAGGTTGTATAGAAAACAGTGTGATTGGCTGAATGGTACCTGGGAGTGGGCTGGAAGGATGAGGCTGTTTATCCTGCAGTCAACACTCACGTATGTAATGTTGACATCCTCTGCAACATCACAACTCACCACATTGTCCTGCTGCTTACACAGAGACACAGGAAGCTTTCTCGTGTTATTCTGCTAAATCACTTGGATTACTGTAGATAAAATTTATGTTGAAATTTCCTTCAAATTATCTTTCAGTTTTGTCTTCATACCTGACTTATACCACATTCAGTGGTGCTTGAATGTTTGTGAAGCCTTTAGAATTTTCTATATTTCTGCATCATTATGACCTAAAACATCTTCAGAGTGTCACACAAGTCCTAAAAGTAGATAAAGAGAATACATTTAAACAAATGAGATAAAAATATTATACTTGCTCATTTATTTATTGAGGAAAATGATCCAATATTACATATTTGTGAGTGGTAAAAGTATGTGAACCTCCAGGATTAGCTGTTAATTTGAGGGTGAAATTAGAGTGAGGTGTCTTCAATCAAAGTGATGATGATCAGGTGTGAGTGGACACCCTGTTTGATTTAAAGAACAGGATCTATCAAAGTCTGATCTTCACAACATGTGTGTGGAAGTGGATCATGGCACGAACAAAGGAGATTTTTGAGGAACTCAGAAAAAGAGTTGTTGATGCTCATCAGGCTGGAAAATGTTACAAAACCATCTCTGAATAGTTTGGACTCCACCAATCCACAGTCAGACAGATTGTGGACAAATGGAGGAAATTCAGGACCATTGTTGTCCTCCCCAGGAGTGGTGGACCAACAAAGATCAACCCAAGAGCAAGGAGTGGAATAGTCGGCGAGGTCACAAAGGAGCTCAGGGTAACTTGGGTCTCTTGTAAATGAGTCCCTGAGGCTCAGTGGGATTAATCTGTCTAAATGAAGGTTGAATGAATGAACTTCTAACAACTGAAGGCTTCTCTGACATTGACTAACATTAATGTTCATGAGTCCACCATCAGGAGAACTCTGAACAACAGTGGTGGTCATGGCAGGGTTGAAGGAGAAAGACACTGATCTCCAAAAAGAAGATTGCTGCTCGTCTGCAGTTTGATAAAGATCATGTGGACGAGCCAGAAAACTGTTGGAAGAATGTTTTGTGAACAAATGAGACCAGAATAGAACTTTGTAGTTTAAATGAAAAGTGTTCTGTTTGGAGAAATGAAAACTCTGAGTTCCTGCATCAGAACCTTATCCCATCTGTGAAAAATGGTGGTGGTTGTATCATGGTTTGGGTCCGTTTTGCTGTATCTGGGCCAGGACGTCTTGCCATCATTGATGGAACAATGAATTCTGAATCATATCAGAGAATTCTGAAGGAAAATGTCACAACATCTGTCCATGAACTGAATCTGAAGAGAAGGTGGGTCATGCAGCAACACAATGACCCCCAGCACACAAGTTGTTCTACCAAAGAATGTTCAAGAAGAATAAAGTTCATGTTTTGGAATGGCCAAGTCAAAGTTCTGACTTTAATCCAATCCAGATGTTGTGGAAGGACCTGAAGCAGCAGTTGATGTGAGGAAACCACCAACATCCAGAGTTGAAGCTGTTCTGTAGAGGAATGGACTAAAATTCCTCCAGGCTGGTGACCAGGACTGATCAACAGTTACTGAAACATTTAGTAGTTATTGATGCACAGGGGGTCACACCAGATACTGAAATCAAAGGTTCACATACTTTTACCACTCACAAATATGTTATACTGGATAATTTTTCTCTATAAATAAATGAGGAAGTATATTTTGTCTCATTAATTTAACCGGGTTCTCTTTATCTACTTTTAGAACTTGTGTGAAAATCTGATGATGTTTAATAAATTTATGCAGAAATATAGAAAATTCTTCAGGGTTCAAACTTTCAAACACCACTGTATATAAACAGTTTGTATCAGTATGTAACAGTATATAAACTGTAAATTAATTGATGTGTAAAATGGTAAATTACATTTTGTACATTAGAAGTTTTAACTGGCCTCATCAAGTTTTGTATAAAACAAAACAAAAACTGCTTAAATGACTTGATTGATTGGTATTAATATTAAAAAAAACAATGTGTTTCAGTGAGTGTCGGAGAAAAGGAAGCTGAGGAAAAGGATTTGAATTCAGAGGCTCCCAGCAGTCTGTCAGAAGCAGCAAGTGAGAAAGAGACCAACAGTGTTTCCCAGAGTAACGCCGTCAGCTCCGGGAGAGAAGAAGAACGAAGTAACAGCATCAAGAAGGTAGGTTCACACTTTCACCACCAACTCTGCTCCAAAAGACCAAAAACTGTTTGTTCACTCAAACACCTTGATGAGAACGTCTCCACCCCAAAGACAAGAAGAACTTTTAAAGAACCCATACATCCTCTGACTTTATTTCCTCTTAATTTTATAATTTGGTAATTGTGGGTGCTAGAAAAGGCTCCATCCTTGTGAAACGTTTTAGAAGGTTTTGCTAACGCATCTTGAAGAAAACCTTTAGGCGTTGTTCTGATCTTCTGGCTGTAGCTGATGAACAGGTGGTGATAACGCACCATTAAGCTGGAGCCAACCACCATAAAGCAAGATGTCAGCAGAGTCATCTGCCTCTTTGGGCTTCTTTAACTTTGTTTCTGTGAGAGGAACTGAGTCCTCTGTGGTAACAATGCTGTTCTTGTGTGTGCCAATGCACTTTTACCTTTCATTTATCCAATCCTTCCAGGTAGGATCTCACAGGACTGTGACTGTTGACAGCTTGCTTCATCCATCACACTTCTAAAAACAGTGTTTTCAGAACAAAAGGTTTTCAGTTTCCTAGCATGACTTGCAGACTCTTGCAGTCTTATCACTTGTTGCCGACTCAAACCTGTCAATTTAGTTTTTGTCCAGTCCAAAGTGCTAGAGTTGCGTTTTGACACAAGAACGTGAGATTTTTAATGACAGGAAACATCTGCAGCTACATCCCCAAATGACCAGGTGTAAAAACTGTTCAGATGATAACTACTGTATTTTCCGGACTCTGTCTCTTCAGAGTATAGGTCGCATTAGTCAAAAAATGCCTCATGAAGAGGAATAAAAAACATATATAAGTCGCATTTATTTAGAAGTGTATTTCACAAAGTGCAAGAACAGACATTTAATCTGAAATAACACATAGAACCAGCAGCGGACTGTCCATCGGGAGCGCTGGGACATTTCCCGGTGGCCTGGCCCGTTCAGTGGTCTCCGAGGGACTGGACTAAAGGCTCAGTTCAGGTTTAATTATTTTTAAATAAACAAGCCCAGGCTCGCTCAGGTCTCATTGAAGCTGCACTGTAGTGATGGGGAAAGACAGACACCTCCCCCCGCCCCTTCCCTTCTTTTACTGAGTCTGTGTCTGTCACAGCAGAGACACACAAGTTGCAGCCAACGAGTCTGACAAGCAGGTTACCATCCTCGGTGTTGCTTCTGAACATCTCCAACTCCTGAGGAAGATGGTGGAGGGGTGGCAAAAGAGGAACAAAATATAGTTGTCAAAAGCCTAGAGGGCCCTCTTTCAGCTGCAACATAACAGCACGTTTACTCTTTGGTTCATGTCAATATGAATGAACATTTAACGTGTCGGTCAAAAATTGCGTCATGAATAGGGGAAAAACGTATATAAGTCTCTTCGGACTAAACGTCGCAGGACTGGCCAAACCATGAAAAAAGTGTAACTTAAAGTCCGTAAAATATGGTAGTTATTTTATGAACTGGTCCAAATCTGCCTAGCTTCATTTCAAAAGTGCGCTCCGGTAGATTAATTCGTAAATATCGGTGCAGCTGCCAAGGTGGGTGCACAGCAGGTAGGGGGGGGGGGGGCAATGAAGTACTGCGTATGACCTAGAATACAGTTTCTTATTACAGTGCCATAAATGCGGGTTATGATTCTGAAAATCAGCTGCACAAAACATCCACACAGCTCACTGATCACTTGATCCTTAAGACACAGGATTCAGTGAGACTGCCTCAGAGAAATCCGACTACTTTCATCACGTTTTAGTCTCCAGCTAAACTCCAGCTGTCGCAGCTCAGTGAGGCTCCACCTTTAGGTTTTCACCTTCACAGCCTGCTCTGGACCCAGAGCTCATTGCTCCACACTAAGCAGTTTTTATTTGTTTGTGATTCTATAAACTGAGACACCAAACAAACGTTTCATATTATACACTTCTCTAAACTGCTTCATCTTCACATTTGGGAAAACGTACTCGTTTATTTGTTGGTGTTTTTGTTTTTTTAATCTGGTAATTGCCGTGAAAAAGCCAACATATTTTATAAACAATTTGTTAGAGGGTTCTGTCGAGGTGAAATTAATTAGGCTTGAAAACACTTGTGCAACTTTCCACTTATTGAAATTTAACAAAGATAAGCATATGTTCTCTAAACGTTATTTAAATTTAAATTGTCTTCTTCCTTTTTGGGTCACTGGTGCCCATATCCAGCCATCACTGTGCAAGAGGCAGTCTGGACAGGTCTCCAGTCCATCACTGGGACACATGGAGATAAACGAGACAAACAACCATTCACTCTCTCACTCTCACCTAGGGACAATTTAGAGTTACCAATCAGACTAACATGCATGTTTTTAGTCTGTGGGAGGAAACCGGAGTACCCACACATGCATGGAGAGAACATGAAAACTCCAGCCAGAAAGGCCCCTCAGCCGGGATTCGCTCCAGCGACCTTCTCATTGAGAGGCGACAGCAACACCAACTGCGCCACCGTGCCGCCCTTAAATTTGAATTTAACATATTTAAAATTGTCAGCTTTGTTAGAACACAGTTTTAGTCCTGAAGCCACAAACTTTGATCCATTTGTTCCAAAATCATTCGTCAGCCAGAAAAAGGCTTTAGGTCAAAAGCTGGTGGTGCTAATCCTCCACTCAGGTGCAGCTGACGGAGTAAATCAGATGAACAGATGTATTTCTGGTCATTTTACTAAATGACTTAGTTATCTCAAATCTTTGACGTCAGAGGAGATTATATTTGTGACAGAACTGTTCATAATGAGACATGCTGTGGTTTGTCTTTTTCCAGGTAGCTGATGATGAAATGACAGAGATGTCTGAAGCCACAGATGCCACAGATACCTCTGAGGCATCGGATCAAGACAATAACAAGAAGGTGAGTCCCTGACAGCCACACCGTCTTACCGCCACATACTAAATACTCAATGTGTGTGTGTTTATAACACGCGTGTGTTTGTGTGTTTCGCCTGTACAGGCTGGGGACGTAGCAGAGGACTCTGAGGAGGCTCTAATAGCTTCTTACCAATACGAGTCTGCCACCACCAACATCCACCCGTATCTCTCAGCCATGGTCAACTATGCACAGCCCATCAAGTTCCAGGGTTTCGATGTGGCGGAGGGTGAGAGACCTCATCAAGTTTTTTTTATGTTCTTCATCTATTAAGCAGTTTTGCATGGATTATTAAAATTCACTTTTACATTTATAGATGTGGCAACAAATGTATCTTCTTCTTTTTATCTTGTTTTTTAGAAAAAAATATCCATCATAACATGTCATCCTTTAACGAGTCGGTTGGCCTGGGTTATCTGAAGACTAATGCCATCGAGTTCGTCAAGTATCCTCTGCGCTGCTGTGAACTTTGAGTTGTTACAGATTTATATTATGTTTTATTATGTCGTTATTATCAAGAGAGGTTTTTATTTATTTATTTATTTATTATGTGCAATTTTGCCCACTTTAGCAAGTGGTGTGATTTAACTGAGGAAAATAAAAATGTGATGTTTCTGCATTAAAACAACAACAACAACAGCAAAAAAACGGAGTAGATCATCACGTTGTAATCATTGTGTGAATGTTTACCAAGCATTCACACCACTGAGATCCATTGTTCTTCTGTATGTTTTTCAGCATCTTTTTTGTTTCACAATTTTTGTGCTATTTCAACAAATCATATCTCAAAACGTTCAGCTCGTTCAGGAGAAGGGTGCATACTTTTGGTATTGGTGCAACTTTAACTTTTTGAAATATTTATCCTTTTCTGACGTTTTTTTTTTCTCAAAGAAAATAACGTGAGCTCATTTTTCCTCCTTCAAATCTTTAGATGTGTTTACAACCTTTTACTGCTCCTTTCACTTGTTGTTCTGGTTCAGCTTCCTTCTGCAAAGTTAAACTTTTTTTTGCAGCTAATTTTAGCTGTTTTTTCAGCTGTTTTGTGCTATTTTCATATTCTTTCTGCTAACTACAACATTTTTGTGCTTCTTCTAACTTCTTTTTACTAATTTCAGCTTGTTATGCTCCATTCTGCTTATTTCTGCAACTTTCAACATTTTCTGCTATTTCAGCTACTATTTAGCTGTTTTATGCTAATTTATGCTTTTTCAGCTAATTCCACTGTTTTGTGTTCATTTCTGCTTCTTTCAGCCTAATATGGCAACATTGAGCTTTCTCCACTTCCTTCTGCTAGTTTAAGCTTGTTCTAAATTTTAGCTAACTATAATTTCTTAGATAATTTCAGCTGTTTTCATATAAATTCAAGTTTTTGTGTTAATTTTTGTGACTTCAGTCTAATTAACTTATTTCTACTCATTTGAGCTTGTTGTGCTCCTTTCAGCTTATTTCTGCTTTTTCAGCTGCTAATTAGCTGGTTTTGGTGCTAAATTTAGCCTTTTCAGCTAATTCTACATTGTTTAAGCTCATTTCAGCTCAGTCCACTTCCTTCTGGTAGTTTAAGCTTCTTTCTGCCTTTTAAGCTACTTTTCGGCTTTTTAAAGCTAATTTCAGCTGTTTTTCTGCAACTTCAGCAATAAGCATTCACACTGCATTTTCGCAGGAAATGCAATTTCTCTAGTTCACGATTTATTATTGTCACAATCACAATTCTCCAAATGGAAGGTTCTGAACGGACCTCTTGTTAACGAACACCCTGAGTCAGCTCCTACAGCTGATGGTTGTCGGCCATTTTGATTTCTACTTCAGTTAGAGAAAAATGTTGTTTTGAACTCAGCGTGCTGTTAACGTGTAGCTCGGTCAAAGGCTCACCGTCTCTGCAGTGGGACAGCTTGACCCAAGCTGTTCACACTAAAAATAACTCCACAGTCTGTTTGATTCAGAAACGCTCAACACTCCATCCCCACACACACACATGCTCGAATACGCATGCTACTCCTCTCTTGTTTTGAAATTTCCCTGAGCATCAGTGCAGCTACAACAAGCGTCAGATGAGCCGTATCTACCCCAAAGGAGGCAGGGTGGACTCCAGTAATTACATGCCTCAGATCTTCTGGAACGCAGGCTGCCAGATGGTCTCACTCAACTTCCAGACCCCAGGTACCGCAGCACGCAACACGGGACTCCTGACCTTAAACACATGCAACTGCTGCACGTGCAGCAAATACAGTACATGCATGTAAGCCTTCAAATTTAGAAAAGAGACTTTGGGTCTCGTGCTGGGTTTATCTTAGGAGGACACTAACCAACAACCAAACCAGCTGGTGTTCCAGCTTCTCCAGAAGCTAATTGTCTTGAGTTAGTGGCAGACTTGTTTCTTGACTTTCCTCTTGACCTTTGATCATCCTAAAGAGTAAAAAAAAATAGTCCTTTCACCTTGTTTGTCGTATAAAATGATCAAATGCAGTTTTCACTGTAGGGAATCTAGTTTCTCCTGGAACTGTGATGTAAGGGTCAGTCCTCTACAGATATCCTGCGCCATCTTAAAACTTATCAGAAAGTTAAATATTTTCTGCCCAGGTCTAAATAAAATAGGAAAAATGACAAAGAGTATGGAGTCATTTGTTTACAGAGTTTGTTCCCGATTCCGTTGTATGAAATATTTAATTCTCAAAGTACTTCCTCAAATAAGCTGCTTGCTTTTCTTATTTATTGATTTTGTTTAAATGCATGTAGTTTTGTTTTTGAGTGGACTATTATAAAAACCTAAAGTAGACAGATTGAAAGCAGTAAGTCAAATTAATGCATTATTTTATAACAGAGTATGGGATGAAAGGGAGTGGTGGCGCAGAGGTTAGAGAAGGTGGGCCTGTGATCAGAAGATCGCCGGTTCAAGCCCCGGCACCGACAACATCAAAAATGTGGGTGGGTAGGTGAAGCACCCACACCTGCCCCCACCCTCATTCGTCCCACTCTGGGCCCTTGATTAAGGCCCTTAACCCCCACCATCTGCTCCTCCGGGTGTCCTAGATAGCAGCTCTCTGCTCCACACAGAGGGCTGTGGCAGCTCGGTGTCTGTGGTTGCGTCAGGAAGGACATCCGAAGTAAAAATAACTGCCAAGTCTTTGTGCAACTTAGTTCGCTGTGGCGACACCTGAAGAAGGGAGCAGCCGAAAGAAGAAGAAAAAAAAAGTATGGTATGAAATAATTAATTTTAATAGTCATTCTTTCCACTAAGGAACACTAGGAGGTCGTAAAGTTACAGGGAGCTTATCGAAGCATTTAAAACTATTCTGACAAATCAACAAAACAATTTGAAGGATTTTCAGGCTTTGTAGTGAACAATTGTGTTTATTGACTGTACTAAAAAATAAATTAACTAAAAGCATGAACGATAATAAATGTGCGGTTGATTTATTTTTTTTCCCCTTCAGAGGGTTAAGTATTGTAAATGATTCAGTTTCCTTTATGTTGCACGTGTGTCGATTAGAGCTGTCATTTCTAATGCGAAGCCTGGCCCGACCCGGATTAGCGCCGGATCGGTCCATAATAATGTGTTTAATGTGCGGGCCAGGCTGGTGTCGGGCTTTTGATTGTGTCAGCGGACGCGCGCGGCTGACGATCCAATTACATGGCAACATGGTTTGCCATACAATCACCAGCCGCACGCAGCCATTTGACTGCGCTGACCGGCCTTGAAAGGGTAAAAAAAAAGTTCAGTTAAGGCAGCGACGTTCATTCAGCCGCTGCACTCAGCAGCTGCGTGCAGCCAACGACCCAACCAACTGAGATCCCAAAATGTCCAACATGTCAAAGCAGGGTCCATGTCTGAATAATGCAGAATGCAGGCAGTAGCAGGGATTTAATGCGCTTAGACAGCCTTGAAAGGACAAACACCCCCTCAGCTCCGATCTTCTGCCTCCCTTAGTTGTTCACATCCACCGACTGTTAATAACTATAAAAGCAGTCAAAGCTTAATTAAAAACGTTGGGGGGTTTCTGACCTGTAATTACTGTTAATTCGTCCCGTGGGGTTTGGAAATGATGGCTGTGGGCTGGGGCCGGGTTGGATTTTTTGGGTTCGAATGCAACTCTAGTGTAGATGGTCCAACTAATATGCTGCTTTATTATTTTACTCTAAAACAATTTACTAAATGGAGCTCATAATACATTAAAGACTTGAACCCTGGGATTAATAACTCACAAACCTGTTTTCTCAAGAGTTTCCTGCTCTTCATCTTTTGTATATGTGTGCACACACACACTCACACACTTGAAGTGTAAGTGATGCCTGTTGATGAGCAGCTGCAGCCCCGTGTCCTGAGGCACAACGGACTCCACCATATGGCCCTGTGTGTGTGTGTGCGTGCGTGCGTGCGTGTGTGTCATGTGGAAGGCTCGGGGCATTTTCCCTCAGAAACTGGAAACTGTTTTAGAGGAAGAAGTTTCAGAGCGAGCATGAAAAGCCTCTGTAAAACATTTACCATTAAGCTGTGTGTTGTTGTATTTAAGCTGTGATGTGATTTAAATGTCAAACATAATAAATACTTCTTACTCTTCTTCGTTTCTGTCTCAGATCTGGCCATGCAGTTGAACCAAGGAAAGTTCGAGTACAACGGCTCGTGCGGGTGAGAGCAGCTCCTCACTCTTCCTCCCCCGCTCTGAGACTCATCAATTACAACTTGTCGCATCTCATTACTTACTGCCCGTAGCTACTATCTGCCCCGTGGGCCATTGAAGTGTTTGAAAATGGACGCTGTCGTCAGTCATCTCTGCATTCATTTATTTCTTCTTCTCCCCATCGTTGTCTTTCTCTCTTAACTCTGTCCTTGAGGGCAGGGATTTTACTGCTAATGCTGGAAATCTTGTAAATGGAGAGACCAAGGCAACTCTCATTAGTAATGGTTTTTACAGAGAATCTTCCTTTACAAGATCCTCCTTTGACTATTTGATTATTATAGAAAGGATTAAAAGAAACATCCATATTTGGCTGATTTTACCCCCAGATTGCTGTTTTATTCTGTAATATTTCCTCTTGTGTGCGTCAGGTACCTGCTGAAACCGGACTTCATGCGACGATCAGACAGGACGTTTGACCCTTTCTCAGAGACGCCGGTGGATGGCGTCATTGCAGCAACCTGCAGTGTACAGGTCTGGTCTCGTTACACTTTGAACATCTAGGAACATGAGTTATTAATTAAACCAAGCATCATAAGAACAGAGGAGCATCATCAGTTTTTAGCACGTGGATAATACAAATAGTTAATTATACGATGTCTGTGTGGTTGTAAAATTATTAATAATGGGTTTCGGCTCATTTTAGGTTTTCTCAGGACAGTTTCTGTCTGACAAGAAAATTGGCACATATGTTGAAGTCGACATGTACGGACTGCCGACTGATACCATCAGGAAGGAGTTTCGCACACGTATGGTGATGAACAACGGGCTAAATCCTGCCTACAATGAGGAGCCCTTCGTTTTCAGAAAGGTACCAAGAAGGAGATACATTGCTACAATAAGTTTAAATATGCAAATAAAAATGAATTACAAATAGATGTTAAGAAGCTACATTAACAAAAATGGAAAAAGCGATCAAAAGAATGGAGTATAAGGCTGGTGTAGTAATGGTATAAAGGAGAAAAGTGAACGAAAAGGAGAAACATCGAATGGGAATCCTGGAAAAAAAAAACTGCTGCAGTAATTTGTGCAAGAAGGGACAGAACAGGTACTCTGGAGTAGTTTGTGTTTGAGCACAGAGAGGAAGAAAGGAGAGAGAAAGACCGAAAAGAAAATCACTAAAATGAGGAAAAAAGAAAATAATTAGGGGTGGAGGAGAGAAATAAAAAGAGAGAATGTGCTAGTGATAGTGCTGCTCTCAGCAGAATGAGAAGTCTCTCAGCCATGACTGTGACTCCAGCTTCCTAACACACACCATCCATCACAACCTGCCGCAGTGCTGCTTCACACACACACACACACACACACACAGATCCAGATACATAAAATTACACTGCGCTATCAAAGAAGGGCATCGTAACCAGAGCTGCTGGCAAGACTCTCGTCTCACACACACACTCCTGCAAATCCTGCTGCACAGTCACAGAGCATACACACTGCTGTCAAGATGAGTCAGGGACAACAATGCACCTCAGCACACACACACACATCTTGAAGGCTTTGAAAGTGTAAGCATACACACACGACGCCTCCACCCATTCATCTCCAGCGTGAATTCTTCATCCTTATCTCTTACCTTCCACTTCCTCTCTGTATTAATTAGCCTCCTCTTTATGTTTAGTTATCTCCTCAGACAAAGCCAGGTAAACACTTCTCCTGAGAGGAGTAGAGTTTTCTAACATCTGTGCATGCATAAGATCGTCATGGACGAGATGCACACGCACGGTGGAGAAGACCTCGACAGCGTTCGCATACACGCTTATCGTCTCCTGATGGTTTCAGCTTAGTCAGCTTGATGACCTGTTTCATTTTCAGCTTTGTTTACCAAATAATTAAATAGCTGATTCTTTTCTCCCCCCACCTACCTTTTTTCTCCACATCCCTCCCTTGTAGGTAATCTTACCGGACCTGGCAGTGCTACGCATCGCCGTCTACGACGACAACAACAAACTGATCGGGCAGCGCATTCTGCCTCTGGACGGCCTGCAGGCTGGCTACCGGCACATCTCCCTGAGGAACGAAGGCAACAAACCCCTGTCATTACCCACCGTCTTCTGCCAAATCATCCTCAAGACCTACGTACCTGACGGCTTCGGAGGTGACACACACACACGCATAATTACACACAGTTAAAGCCTGGTGTTGCCTGTTAGTGACAAACATTTTTCTGCTCTTAGACGAGTCGTGTCTGATAATAAACTAGTTTCTGTAGCCTGCAGGGAGGAGAGAGTAGAAGTAAAAAGCATAGCGTCCTTTTTCTGCCTTGGGTGGGTTAGTTTTAACATTTGCAGTAATGGCACGGCACAAACGATGATGACAGTAAATCTGCAGACAGTTCAGTACAGGCACGAGCATACAAATGAGCTGGACAATTTGAGTTGCCATTAAATAAAGCCAAGAGGCTTGCAGCAAGGAGCCATTACTGTGAACATTAGCTTTCCTCTGAAAGATCTCTCTTTCTGACACAGCTCCTTTTACACTTAAACCCATGAAGACATTTTAGTTATTTTTACTGCTGTGTTTCACTAATGCTGTGTACTTGCTGTGCTGCAGCTATCGTGGATGCTTTATCAGACCCAAAGAAGTTTTTGACCATAGCAGAGAAGAGAGCTGACCAGATGAAGGCCCTGGGGATCGACACGGTACACATGACGACCAGTACACGAAAAACACGAACCCGTCTTCTTACACAAACATCCTGAATAAAAGTCGTCCTCTTTCTGCGGTAGAATGACATAGCAGATGTTCCCAGTGGAAGCTCGAAGAACGACAAGAAGGGAAAAGGGAAAGGAGACACAATGAAAGTCAGTGTGACACAACAAGCCAGCTCAGAAATAGCTCAGACCTCCAACTCCATCAACAACAACACAACAGAAATCAAGAAGGGTAAAAACTGATAACAAACCTATTTAACAGATTCATGCTGTGTCTAAGATTAACGGCCTAACTTCTTTCTTATTGCTCCTTTAGATACCGCACTTGTGCCTAATGTTAGCATTGATGACCTAAAGCAAATGAAGGTTTGTACTGATGTTTTTCTCAGAGTTTACTTAAATAAAGAGTTTCATTCTGACAGGATTGATGTAGTAGTGGGTATTCTGAGCAGGGTCAGGATTCAAGTGCATCACTGCTGTTTGAAAACAACTCCCAATATCAAAATTATGTAGCAGTGAAACATTTCTAAAGGAGTTTTGAACTGCGATCACTTTTGCATTGTACAGTAGTCCCTCGTTTATCGCGGGGGTTACGTTCCGCCCCTCCCCCGCACGCAATAAGTAAACAACCATGAAGTAGGAACGTTATATTTATTTTAGTATTTATACATATTTTAAAGCTGTATAAACCCTTCCCACATTCTTGCAATGTTCTAAACTCAAACCTACGTCATTTTAACAACATACATATATGTACTGTACAGTAGCTACTGCAAAGTTTTATATGGGTACTAACCAGCTGGAAGTCTGGTTCTGGTCCAGTTCTGATCGGCTCTCTGCAGCCCTTGAGCATCAAGATGCTTTTAGAAAGAGACGGGCCTTCAGAGACCCAGCACAAAACCACACAATGATCCCGATCGAGTCCAAACCAGGATGAAAAAAAGTCCGGGTGAGCTCCGGAGAAAACTGGACCCTCAAGCAATGCCCCCCGCTGGAGAGGCGTCATGGGCCAGCAGGCAGCTCTCAGATTGATCGATGAGGCTGTACGTAGTTCTGGTCCAGTTCCTGGTTGGTTCCATACGGCTCTCTGCATCCACTGAGCGATGTGTGAAGTATCACTATGAATAAGGACCGAACCTTTTTGGATTGGATCAAAACTCCCTCAATTTCAGCAGAAAGCAACAGCTGGAAGCACTGTTGAGGCTTCTGGGTAATGCAGTCCTTTTGACAGGCGATACAGTGTAGGCTTATTAAGAGAAAACTACAAAATGGCCACACCTGTCTGAAGTTTTTATTTTTTCGTTAAATTGTTACTGTATCCCATACGGTCCCAATCACGTGAGTAATATTAAAGTTGACAATTGTGTCGTGTACAAATTTTTTTTCTTGTGTACAATCTTACTTTGAAAAACCGCTAAGTGCGAGATCACAAATGTCGAACTGCGAAGTAGCGAGGGACTGCTGTACACAATTTCCAGCAGAACTAATATGAAAAGCCCTTTGCTGCACTGAAAGTGCTACAGCTTTGCAAATAACTGCAGAGTTGTGTATAACCACACAACATGAAACTGATGGAAGTGTAAAGGTTTAAGAAATGGTGTTCGCATGAATGGTTACGACATTTTTGAGGTTGAAGATGGTTTTTAAGACTGCTGCAATCTGACCAGGACCAGACCCCGTTACTTAATGGATCCAGTCAGAATTAAACTCGTTTTCTCTAAGCTGAGCTTGTTCAAATAGTTATCTACAGCAGGTAAGATATTGTTTATAACTGTTCCACTGAACCCCACTTTAAAGATCAAGAGTATCACTATAAGTTTTTAAAAATTATCATGTTACATTATATAAATTTATTTAAAAAATAATAATAATAGGTTGCCCTCATAATGATCTGATGAGTTTAGACCAACAGTCCAAGCAGAAGTAACTGTTGCCTACAGACAGCTGCTCCTCTCAACATGCCCAAACCTCTGTCTCTCCCACTGCAGACCTATCTTAAGCTGATAAAGAAGCAACAGAAGGAGATCAACACTTTAAAGAAGAAACACTCAAAGGTAGGTGGTTTTCTGAGAGCATGTTGGTAATGCAAAGAGGCTGACGGTCATTGATGCTCTGGAGACCAGAGACAAGGGGAGCGCTGCAGCCTTTCATCGCCCGCTGCCCACTGCTTCATCTTTTATTAGTCTGCACACAGGAACACAATCAGTCCATAACACATACACACATTAGACACACAATTAATGTTTTTCAATAAATTACACTTGCTAAAATTCTCCTTTGACAAGCCTCACCATAGCGACTACGCTGCAGAGCCTCATTAATTATCCCAATATTAGGTTTTATTACATAACACGTGAATATTAACACTATCAGATACATCTGTTCACCGAATAACTCTTTATGTCGCTCGGACAACACTAACAAAACAATTTAGTTGAATTATTACCTGTAGATTTTTGTTTTTTACTCATTATCTCATTCCAGTTTTGTTTGGTAGAACTGCACTCGTGCAGAAAAAATGTGTAACGGATTACTTTTCTATTCTGTTTCTTACTCAACAGGATCAAAATTCAATGCAGAAAGCTCACTGCACCCAGGTGGACAAGCTGGTGTCAATGCACGAAAAGGAGAAGACGACGCTGGAGAAGCTCGTAGAGAAAGCCATCAAGAAACGAGGGTAAAATTCATGGAGTCGGTTATCTGAAGGGAAATCAACGAGTAAAAACAGATGAAACTTTATTCGTTTTGTCGTAACTTTATGACCAATCTAGAGTTTGTTTGGTGCATGTGTTAGCAAAATATTACATGAACCACTGGACAGATTTTAATTAAAATAATTGTTGGAGGCACATCTAGTAAGTTTCTTTCAGCTGCTCCCTTCAAGGGTCGCCACAGTGAGCAAACTCGCATGGAAGATTTGGCAATTTGTTTTACGCCAGATGGAACCTGGGCTCGAACCTGCAACTTCGGGATTGCAAGACCGCGGCACTGACCACTGATCTACCGCAGCCCATTGGAGGCACATTTACAACTGATTAAATTTAGAAGAACCATTACAGACACTAAAATGGCTGTAACTCTGTCATTTTTACAGATACTGAGCTACAAGTTGGTGTGGTAGTAGCTGAGAATCATCACTTGACATTTTTTAGAGCTTGTTCAATGTTCTCTTTTGGATTTGGCCAAAACAACTCCTTCATTATTCAACAAATGTTGACCTTAGTGTAAAACTCTGGCAGGAAAGGGGAAAGGCAAAATTAATTCCATCGATGAATGTTAGACTTTTACTTTGTGTTTTGTTTGTATTTAATTATTTTTAAGTACTTTGAGTACACAACTGCACAGAAGACCGTTGGAGTCAGCCCCCCACCATCACAGACATCTACACCTCCAGATGCAGGAAGAGGGCCACCTGCATCATGAAGGACCCCACTCACCCAGCACACACACTTTTTGCCCTGCTCCCCTCAGGCTTGAGGAGCATTAAGTGTAGAATCACTAGACTGAGGAACAGCTTCTACCCTGAGGCCGTTAGACTCATGAATCCTTAACCAGGATAATCACTGTAATGCCACTTTAATTGGTGATGTGTGACTTATCTGTGCTGCTGATGATTCATACTGCTGATCTCATGCTGCTGTATTCATTCATACCCATCTGCTCACCACAGACTCATGTTCGGGCTGCTGTTGTTATGCCATATTCATCCATCCATCCATCCATTATCTTTACCCGTTTGTTCCATTTTGGGTCACGGGGGTCGCTGGTGCCCATGTCCAGCAATCACTGTGCGAGGGGCGGGGTACACCCTGGACAGGTCGCAAGTCCATCACAGGGACACATAGAGACAAACGAGACAAACAACCATTCACTCTCTCACTCACACCTAGGGACAATTTAGAGTTACCAATCAGTCTAACATGCATGTTTTTGGTCTGTGGGAGGAAACCGGAGTACCCGGAGAAAACCCACGCATGCACGGAGAGAACATGCAAACTCCACCCAGAAAGGCCCCTGGACCGGGGTTTGAACCAGGGACCTGCTCGCTGAGAGGCAGCAGCTCTACCAGTTGCGCCACCGTGCTGCCCGTTATGCCATATTGTTTTACATTATTAGTGTTTAGTGTATATCTTAAATTCTTGTATACCGTTTCTTTTTTATACTTTATATTTTCTATTTTTGGTGTAACTGGGACCCTGTGTACATAATTTCATTCCACCTCATGTACCACATGTGATGCGATTGACAATAAAACTTGACTTGAACTTGAGTAGTAAGAGTCTTACCTGCTCCAGACAGAAGTAAGAGTGGAGATACCCATCAGTGTTTGTAAAATGGCTGCTCCTTCCATTCTTGGAGTGGTGTAAAAGTTGATGACGCAGCATTCACTCAAAACTTAAAAAGTTATTGACGTCCGAGATGTTTTAATTTTTGCTACAACTTGTTGACTTTGTCGTTTAGGTTTAAGCTAGCTTAGCTGCAGAGCGGTGGCACACTGAGAAAACAGTCCCTCAGTTTCTGTTTGGTCTCTGACTGTCACTTGTCCTTTTATCTGTGGTTTATTTGACAGTGAGAACAACTGCCAAGAGCTGAAAAAGGAGACGGAAGATAAGATCCAAATGCTAGTTGGCAACCATAAAGCAAAGGTACAGAAGCACCCGTGCTACAATGCTACCGACTGTGTGGGTTGCATGTGGAGGGAACGACAACATCTGTGTTTGTGCAGATAAAGGACATCACGGCGCAGCACACTAAAGAATGGTCGGAGCTGATCAGCAGCCACAGCAGTGAGGAGCAGGAGGTGAAGGACAGCCATGTGACCCAGCAGTGTGAGCAGCTCAAGAAGCTCCTAACATCCGTCCAGGAGCAGCAGACCATACAGCTCAAAGTCATCCATGAAAGGTGACACACACTTTACACTCGTACGCAAACGTAAAGGCTGATTATCGCAGGAGATCAAACATGAAGCACCAGCGATGCAGGTGTTTTACTGCTGCCATAGAAGCTGGATTGTTAGTAAAGTTTCTGCTGCTTGTTTTGCTGCTCAGGCAGAGCAAAGAAATGCGTGCTAACCAAGCTAAGACGTCCATGGAAAACAGTAAAGCCATCAGCCAGGACAAGACCATCAAAAACAAGGCGGAGCGAGAGAGGTGGGTCGCAGCTGAGGGTGTTAGTCGGAGGCGGGAACAGGAAGCAGGCTTGTTTTCCTCACGCTGTGATTGTTTTGGTCGTTCAGGAGAGTGCGAGAGTTGAACAGCAGCAACACCAAGAAGTTCCTGGATGAGAGGAAGAGGGTAGGTTCTCATGTTACCCAGCTGGAGGTTTTATTTTGTATGTCTGACTCGATGCAAATGTTTGTGTCTTGGTTTACAGCTGGCCATGAAGCATCAGAAGGAGATGGAGCAGCTGGAGAAAAATCAGAGAGAGCAGCTGGAGAAACTGGAGAAGCACAACGAGCAGGTAAAGCACGAGAAGGAAAGAGAATTAGACTGATTATTAAAGAAACTCCAGTTAAAACATATGAGTTCACAGAATAATGGCAGCTGTTTGAATTTTAGCTCAACACAAATATTTTGTGTATTTAAAGTGTTAACAGACGTGTTTGTGAGGTCATGTCCCATCTTTGCTTTTTGTTTCACCATGTGTCACAGTAGCTGTACATGTCTAACATGTATGCACGTTTTGGTTTTAATATGATTTGCTTTTTCCGGCACAGCTTTTGAAATCACATCATGCAAACAAACAGGTTCAAGGTAGGCATCTTCATCTTCGTCATCTCTACCTCTGATACCAGTTTTGTGTCAGTGCATTTAGTGACTACTTGTGATTTTTTTCTATTCTGTGTCACCACTTGTTTCAATATTACCATATTTTTCACCCTATAAGTCATGCTTTTTTTACATAATTAAAATGCCCTGCGACTGATACGCTGAAGCAACTTATTTATGTTTTTTTCCATATTTATAAACCAATTTTTGGTTGAGATATGACCGTTTTCAATCATTCTGAACAAAAATATTGAACACCACCATTTTCAGCCGCTAGATGGCACTCGAGTAGTATGGCATGCCGTTGTGTCATGTATTAGGTAAAAGTGGCTATTATTGACACAATCGGCTTGCCTACCACCTTCTTCCAGCTCGCTTGGAGCAAACAGCTAATTTGACCATTGAAGTGCATTTATTAAGTAAAAGTTCAACATACACTTTGCAATAATGTCGAGCAAACAAATACCGTATTTTTCGGCCTATAAGTCACAGTTTTTTGCATAATTTACATGCCCTGCGGCTTATAGGCCAAAGCGACATATTTATGGATTTTTTTTTCCATATTTATAAACCATTTTGTGGCTGAGATTTGACAGTTTTCATTCATTCTGCCTGAAAAAAAAAATTGAGCAGTACCACTTTCAGCCACTTGATGGCAGCAGAGTAGTAATAGGAATATGGCATGCTGTTGTAACATGCAATAGGTAATCGTGGCTATAATGACTAATTCAAAAAAGTTCAAGACAAAAATAAATGGATTTTATTTATTATACTTTATACTTTATTGTTTGTTTTTTTCTTGAACTTTTTGAATTTACCATGTCCTGAATGACTGAGAATCTTCACCAGATATTAATGACTCAATCGGCCTGCCATAATCTCCCCACCTTCGTTCTGCTTACTGCTTGGAACCGTCAAATCAGCTGCACCGCCCGGCGAAATGCAGCTGATTTGACCATTAAAGTGCATTTATTAAGCAAAGGTTAGACTGAGACACAGCTTTGCTATAATTTTGAGCAAACAAGTACCATATTTTTTGGCCTCTAAGTCACAGTTTTTTGTATAATTTACATGCCCTGCCACTTATAGGCCAAAACGACATGTTTATGGATTTTTTTCCATATTTATAAACCATTTTTTGGCTGAGATAAAATCCTCCCGTGCATGTTCTCGTGGCCGCCATTTGGTAGCCAGTCATTTTTTGGCACAACACCGGTCCACATTTCCAGGTTTTCAGCAGTGACGTGTAATAGATGCAACATATTTATGGATTTTTCCACTTTATTAGACATATTTGGACTGATGCGACTTATAGGGCGGAGCAACGTTTACTGTGCAAAATACGGTACCTAAGCTTTCTGACAAACCTGGTACAGTTAGCCTCTCTGTGCTACAGTTTTAACTAAAACAGGCAAGCAGCTCCTGACAGGGCTATCTTTAAGATATCGCACGTTTTTCTTTAAAACATAGTGATCTCTTTTTTTTCTTTGGTTCATTCTTTTTTTGTAAGTCTGCAGCTTGTGCGGGCATCATGAGCGCCAGCTAGCATCTTGATTCATTTATCACCATGACTCACCAGAAGCAGCCATCTCACTCCAGCCCACAGTCATTTACATTCATAGCATGAAACAGTGTCCATCTGCCCACACCTGGTGACAATCATCACTCCAACTAAGCATGACATAAACAGATTTATTTCATCGTGGTAAACCGACAAACAAACTCCTGTTCGGTTGCAAACGTCTAACTGGACTCGTGAACAAACTGGGAAATGAAATATTACATTTATACATTTGTTCATTTGTCTGATGTCTCCGTTAAGGCCAAGGACATCCAGCAGATGGTGAAGTTGGAGGAGGAGATGGACCGCAGACCTGCCACGGTGGTCTGAGCAACTGAGACCGAGTCACAACCCCAGACACATCACACAGGTGCAGAAACAGGAAAACATGCCAGCCTCACTGTCCGACCAGTACTCTACCTAAGTTTCACACCGAAGCCCCGCCTCCTTCTCCTTTGTTGTGCTTCGTGTCTCCTGCACTTTTACCCCACCTCCCACCGTCAGACAACTGAGCCATTGCTGCGTATCGATGTTTCACCTGGGGCTGAACCACTGACGGGGACAGGAAGCGTTACCTCATAGACAACGAAACCCAACACTCTTCTGCTGTACGTAGATCTTCATCGTCATCATCTGCATTTTAAAGACAATAAAAGCTTCAGCTGTTGGTGGAAACAAGCACACTCATTCATCTGATAAATCGCCTTCTTATTTTTGTATCCGATAAACTCACAGACGCAGCATAAGAGTAGACTTGTTGTCACTTCAGCACAAAGGAGTACACTTTATGAAACACACTGAACACAACAGTCCTGTCCTGAGCACGCACTTTGTGATAGGTCGTCAAGAGGTACGGGAAATGTAGCAGTGCACTACTAGATCTGTTTTAATCAAAAATGTATGAAAAACCACGGAAGCTACTTAATGACGGAGTGGGAACCCCTGTTCAACATCAGCATTAGCTTCAGTGAAACTCTAAAAGAATCTCCGCTAACGTTACATGTCCTTGTTTTTTGACTCGTTTCTTTATGGCATTGTGTTTTCTTTTTGTTTTAACCAAACGTCCAAGAGATGGTGCAATAGCTGGGACACTTCTGAAAGTTACATAAAAAGACTTGTTCTCAGTCGAGTTTCCACGAGTAAAGGTTTTTAACACGGCTTTCTACACACCTAGCTTTGGGCCTCACAATCATATGTACTATGCAAAAGAAGAATAGTCATTTCTAAATTCCCTTAAAGTAAAAAAAAAAGAAAAATCAATATCAAATCTTTAAGCTGACACAGTGACCAAAACAAAAAGTGGAGGAAGTAACCAAAATGTATTTTTTATGTTTTTAACATAATAGCACCATTACTTTACCCAAAAGCAATAACAAAAATTATTTTTTCTAAATGTTGGAATAACAAAAGTCGTCTCGATATCCTGATGCATGCTCAATAATCCAGGTAGACACGTGTAACAAAGTTGAGTCAGGTCCTCTGGACGGATTCTTCTTGTTTAAACATTTAGTCTTTTATCCAAAAGACTTCAGTTCAATCTGAGGAGCTGCAGCTAACTCAGTCTTATAAATAGCACCTTCTCATAATGGAACAACCAGTTTGCTGCTGACATCCAGAACTAGCTGTTCACATGTAAGAGGAGGGCCAGCAGTGCCCTGATGACCACTCACAGAGGGCTGAGGCTTTTATTTTATTGTTTGCACAAAAAAGAAACGACACACAAAAAGGAAAAGATAAAAAGAAAACTTGCAAGAGAGGTCATAAAAACACAAAATTGATTTACAAACCCCACCCCCTTCTAAAAAAATCATAAAAGCTTTGTACGTAAGCGTACGTCTTACTTTAAACACACACAACGGTGTTAGATAATAGCTCATAATAAATTTGAATTGTTCAAAATTAATAAAATAATAAAAAAATGTGTTTAAATAACATCTATAAACTTTTTGTTTCAACTTTCTTTTAAATACAGATAATGTTGTACATGATTAATTTGATTTAAACTGTTCTGGACTCTGAAGTCATCAGACCAGGACTCTGGTCTACACTCATCTGCAGGCAGCGGTCACTGCTTCAGGGATGAAGACGTTCACATCCTTGATGGAGAGGAGCGATGGTTTGAGAGAGGAGTGAAGGAGGCCATCTTTGTGAAGAGACACGTCCATCATTAAACAGGGACGAGGCCTCCGTGTCCAACTGTCCCCCTCTTACAATGCTGTTATTGCTAGTATCACAGCCCCCTGTGAATAGCAAGTGGACATCAGGACACTAAAGATTGGTCACTAGGCTGATGGTCTTCCTTTTACATGTGAACAGCTGGTTTTGTCTATCCACTATGAGAAGGGGCTATTTATAAGACTTGAGTTTACTGCAGCTCCTCAGATTGAAGAAGTCTTTTGGATAAATTATAAAACATTTCAACAAGTTTTTTATTTATTTTTTATTTTGAATTCATCCAGAAGACCTGACTTAACTTTGTTAGATTTAATCTAGATGGTTCCAAAGCTGTCAGTGTTGAGAGGTTTTCAACAATGAATATCTTACCTGCTGTAGATAACTCTTTGAACGACCTCAGTTTAGAGAACCAGAGAGTAATTCTGACCGGTCCGAGTGAGACCAGGGCTGCAGTGAGTTGCTGTCATCTGAAAACGGCCTCAGACATTTCATGGAGGTTCGTCCAAATGCTGTTTTATAAACCTTTGAATTGTCGGTTTCACGTCGCATGGAGATTCACAAGTACTCTAGCACTTCCTGTGCAGCTTGGGGCACGTCCAGCAGGAGTATCAACATGTTTCTTTTGGAACAAGGTGGCACGTGAAGCTGTTGTCCTTAGGAACCGCTGAGGGTAGAGTTGTTTTAGGACGGCAGGAAGTCGTACGCTCTGTCTCGCTGCTCATCAGTTTGATCAAAATTAAAACCATTTCTCCAACGTTGGGTCATTCAAGGAGCTATCTACAACAAGTAAGATATTAGTTGTTCATATCCTCTCCACAGAGCCCCACTTTAAAACTTCTGAACTATGGCTTTAAAGCATTCTTGAAGTCGTGCGCTCCATTATCAGGCTCCCAGTGTTTTCAGTCGTGGGCCTCAGTATTTAGAGATTTGTAACAAACATGGCTGCCGCTCGACCGCCACTGCAGAGCTGCTTTCAACAGCTTGGTATTTATTTTAAAGATGAATCGGTGAATGTATCCGACTGTCACTGCTTTAAAAAACAAGTACTGTCACGATGCGAGGTGAAGCACTAACTGACGTAAAGTCACACTGAGGGTCATTTTTATAACTTAGGAGGGAAAACACTGGTAGGTATTTTTAAATGAGTTCCCCCATTTTATTCTGCTGGGACACACGAAGAGGGGCGATGGGATGTTTTTGTATATACTGGGATGTATGTAGTTGTGTTGGGGACAAACAAGTATCAAGCACTGGTTGTTTTCTTGTTTTTTTTTTGTTTGTTTATTTGTATGGGGACGTTGTGTAGTTTGTTTTTGTGTTAAACGCCACCACGGATTCTCTCACCGCCACATATCTAGTGCAGAAATAAACGAGTAAAAGTGCTTTTAAAGTTTGTCCCAGCGCTTTCAGATGTGCCACTCAGTGTCTCTTAGGACATTTAAATTATTTTATGAATGAAAAAATGCCAAACTTATTGGTTATTTGTATGAAGGTATATACAAATAAATGAATATATATTATATATATTAGATAATGTGTAGATTAAGGTTAATATACTATAGAGGCTTTTTTGCACTAGTTGATTGTTTCTGTTGTGTGACTTCATGTAACCTCTGGCTCTGTTCGTCCATAAAGCAGATTATTTTTGCAGATTCTTTAGTTTGGACTGTGACTTCTTTGTTTTCTATTTGAACTGTAGCTCATCTGACGTTCTGTGTGTGTTTTTGTATTTATATTGTACTATTGAACTTATAGCAATGACAATACTGTTGTTATCCAGCTCCTTTAATACTGTTTTATAGTATGTGTATCAATAAATCCATGTGTAAGACGTGGCGTGTGTTTATTTGAACTTTAGATTCCTTTTGGTCTCATTTATCTACATTCTGTTCTTGATCACAAAGTCAAAACAGTTGTTCTTTTAAAAAAAAAAATGTAAATTTGTTATGCCTGCCACACACACCACTAGGCCTCAGCTGCTTTATACAATCTTTAAGCATGGTGGTAGCAGCATCATGCTGTGTGTTCTGTGGATCAGGATCCCAGACTGGACCCAGAACACACAGCAAAGAGCGCAGGAGTAGCTCAGAGGCCTGACGTGAACTCTATCAACCATCATGGAAAAACTTGCTCGTCCATTGACTCCTCCATCCAACCAGACGGAGGATTTGCAAAGAATGGCAGAAAATGCCACAAACCAGGTGCAGGTTGTTCAGAAAGACCAGGACCTGCTCAGGTCTGATGTGATGGTTTCAGTTTTAATTTTGGTAAATTTACAAAACTATAGTTTAATTTTATTTTTCTAGTTAAGCGGTGGGGGGGGGGGGAATAGTTTGACAATGGTAGCATCAATCAATAAGTGTGTGTGTGTGTGGTGGTGGTGGTGGTGGGGGGGGGGGGGGGGGTCTGAATACATTCTAAAGCCTGGGCACCCCCCACACACACTAATTAATTTTCCTGCCCCATCCATGATGTTCAACGTGAATCTCTTTATTGTCATTATAATTATAATTCAAGTATTTCCATTAGAAAGAAGCTGAGTTCTTGTTGCTAGGCAACCTTGTAGCGTCATTTTACTATAAGAAGGATGGGGTCGGGGGGTCGTTTTTCAGACAGAGGATCAGTTTTCGTGTTTACTTCTCTGATCAGTGTCAGGATGATTAAAACCAAAGCTGAAGAGCAGACCGGCACCAAGATCCTCCTGGGCGCCATGTCCAAGGATGAAGTCCACTTGGCCCGGTTCGTTCTGGACTCCAGAACCGACGGCGCGCAGACGCCCCTGATCTCCTCCGTCCTGCTGCCTGACGCGCACGCTCGCTGTAAGTTCACGGAGCTCCAGCTGCAGAAGGGGGCCAGCGTGAACCAGCAGGACCCGGACGGGCGCACCGCCCTCAGCTTCGCCTGTGAGCGGGGGTTCCTGGACGCTGTGAAGATCCTGGTCCGGAACGGCGCAGACCCAGAGATCCAGGACCGGTGGGGGAACAGCGCGCTGATGTTCGCCGCGGCCGCGGGCCACGCCTCCGTGCTCGAGTTCCTGGTGAGGGCTTTTAAGAGGCTGGGTCTGCAGGTGCACAGAGCCAACAGAGCCGGGAACTCCGCCGCCGCCGTGGCGAACTTCCTGGGTCACTCGGAGTGCGTGTTCGCGCTCACCACCGTCTCCAGCAGGAGCGGAGGCGCGCGGCCGACACGCGCTTTGGAAGACGAGTTGGAAAAGAAAGTTGATCATCTAAGGAACAAACTTGAGGTCCTCCAGACACGTGAGCTGGCGCTGATGGTTCGAAACCCCAGCTGGAAACCAAGACCCCGGACACTGAACCGGCTGCGGTCCATGGACTCTGAACGAGACGTCTCCCTCCCTGCAGCAGCCCCCCCTCAGGTCCTGAAGCGGACCTCCAAACTAAACTCTAAGCAGCTTTTGGTGACTTCTGGGGGCCACCTGCCCCCTCTTCTAAAACTCCGTGAGGTTCACAAACCTTTCTTGTCCCCACAACCCGACAGAAGCGCACCCAGCTCCGCCCTGGACGTCTTACTGACCCCCATCCTGACCCGGGCACGTGAACCAGGGAGGGGGCCGGGTCGTAAACTGGGTGCCAGTTATTACAGGAAAAGATGCAGTCTGCCGACCAGCGTGCTCAGCCCCGCACCTCCGGAGCGCGCTGCGCTTCCTGGGAGCAAATTCAGAGCGGTGAGGAGGCGGGAGGAGGCGCCCACCTCCACAGCCTCCACTCTCTCCACCCTGAGCAGCAAACTCCTCCGCAGATTCACCTCCCCGGAGTTTCAAAAGGAGCACAGAGATCCGGAGCAGACGCCGATTTCCGGTGGACTCCCGAGGTCAGAAACTTTCCCCATGGCAGCGAGGCACGCGCACGTGCACAGCACGCCCAGCATCCACAGCATCAGCTCCGTCGAGTGCGAGTTTGACTCTCACCTCACAAAACCAAACTCTTCGAAGTGACGGCGCGCGCCGCGCGTCACATCCACAGCTTCACGCGCAGTTCGGTCCTGACGCTTTAATCCAGAAAGCTCAAAATCTCTGAGTCTTTCAGTCATGTGGTGAGCGCGCGGGATTAAAGCGCGCGCCTTCAAAACGCAAAAAGCAACTTCTAGTTCCTGTGGATTATCTCATGTGTTCATGACACCCCCTTGGGGAAGGGGGGGTGGGGGGGGTGTCCATCGAGGGTGGAGGGGTGTTGTGCAGAGATGATTTACAGTCCGCTGTGCAGAGTAGTGGAGTGTGTGTGTGTGTGTGCGTGCGTGCGTGCGTGTGTGTGTGTGTTGTTTAATCTTCCTGTAATAAGGTCAGCATGTAAAGGTCTGAGCTCAGCTGGAGGGGGTGCAGCTGTGGGGGTGTCTCCCTCCAGACAGACAGTCCTCCCTTCAGCTGCTCCCTTAGAGGAGGAGGAGGAGGAGGCTCGGAGCGCTGCGGGGAGCCGGCTGCTCCTCATCACTCCTCTCACTTTGAGTTTCATTAGTTTCATTCGGAACATCGCGGACGCACAGAAGAGGCGCGGACTTGCAGCCGTTACCTGGTTGAAACGTGACAACCTGCAAGGAGGAGGGGGTGGGGGTGAGGAGGGGGGAGGGGGGCAGCCTGGATCCTGCAGGACGAACCCGGATCTCAACCGGTTTTTTTGCTGCATTCACGACGATCTGAGAGCGTGACTCTTTTTTTTTTTGTACGAGACGAGGCACTCCTCCCCCGCCCCCCCACCTTCCCCCTCACCCCCCCCCCCCCCCCTCGTCTTTCTCTCCGCTCTCTCCGCGGGTGTGCTCCAGACTCGCTGCCTCCCTTCAGTCCAGCACCGGGGCCGCTGGCAGCGATGGGCCGGCTCGGTTTCAGCACCACGGAGAGCGCCAGACTTCTGCTGCTCGGTGAGAACCCGAATGTGTGTTTGCGTGCGCGCGTGCAGTTGTCGTGACTTTATGCTGCAGACTGTGCGCGCGCACAGACCTACTACAGATTGTGCACACCCCAAGGTGTTTGGTCTTTAAATCACGAGTCTCTTACTTTTGTTCTCGTGAAAGGTGTAAAGTTGTTTCCGTGTCGTCTCTTCTTCATGTTCGGTCTCTGACCCTGGTCCAGAGCATGCTGCATGAGGACCAGTCCTCCTCTGCTCGTGCTGATGTTGCAGATTTATTTATTTTATATTTTCTTAGCACGAGCGCTTCTGCTGTCTCCTTCTGCTCAGGTGTTCTGGTGCTGTCCGCGGTGCTGGCGGAGCAGGAGGGGGAGAACCTGTCCGGGCTCTCCACCAACCCGGACAAAGCCATCTTCGCGGTCCGGGAGAACGCCACGACATGTCTGATGGTGGAGTTCGCCGTCAAATTCCTCGTGCCATACGACGTGCTCGCGCTCAACGGAATCGACGTAAGGAATCCCCCCTCTGTCTCGTGCGTTTTAAAACTAGCAAACTTTTAAAAAACAAGTTGGAGCGAGCTGCGTAAAAGTGACTGGCAGAAACTGCGCGTAAAACCACAGGGCGCACTGAAAACGGATGATTTGAGTTGACACGACCCCCCCCCCCCCCCCACACACACACACACACACAGATACATTTTAATCTTATTAAGAGTTGTAAGTGACTGAATAAATTCACGCCGTAGCTGAAACAATTCACGGTTGTGATTTGCAGCCGTGCGTAAAAACTTCAATTATCCATTTAAACACAGCCGCTGGAGACCGGTTGGGTTGGTTACAGATTTATGACACATCTGTCAACTGTGGGTCAATTCTTCTCGTCTCTGCAGCTGATCACGGAGCAGGCGTCCTTCACTCTGCCCCGCACCGCAGAGATCGAGGGGAAATGTGGACTCACAGAGTCCGAGATCCACATCTCCTGGAAGAACAACGCCTACATCCTCCGCATTTACTTCTCCAAGGTGGGCGGCTCCACAGCCTGCACCCAGAACCCCCAGAACCTCTTGACCACACAAAGACCTGACTGATGTGGCGCAGGAAAAGTTCATGTGTGTTTGTTGCAGGAGTTCCGTGATAAGGGTGCCGAGGTGTGGAAGATCAGCAGAGTCCAGTTCGTGTACGACACCTCGGAGACATCGCACTTTATCAACGCCTACAACCGTGAGTGTCCAGCGTGTCCACAGTGTCCACAGTGTCCTCTCTGATCACAGAGGCTCTGGGTTGGACTATGGTCCCCTGCATGTTTCTAAATCATGAGATGTATGCAAAACCTGAATTCTGAATTTTTTATTTATTCATTGTGATTTTCCATTATTATTATTATTATTATTGAATTTATTATTATTATGAATCTGTTTTCAGATTCACCACAGATCATTACAGGGTTTGGTTATTTATGAATATTGAAATTATTTTTCCATTTGTTTTCTTAATATGTTAGTGCGTTAGTTCCTAAACCATTTATTTATTTATTTATCAATTTATCTATCTATCTATCTATCTATCTATCTATCTATCTATCTATCTATCTATCTATCTATCTATCTATCTATCTATCTATCTATCTATCTATCTATCTATCTATCTATCTATCTATCTATCTATCTATCTATCTACCTACCTACCTACCTACCTACCTACCTACCTACCTACCTACCTACCTACCTACCTACCTACCTACCTACCTACCTACCTACCTACCTACCTACCTACCTACCTACCTACCTACCTACCTACCTACCTACCTACCTACCTACCTACCTACCTACCTACCTACCTACCTACCTACCTACCTACCTACCTACCTACCTGGTT